TTTTTGCTTATTTTAATATATTGTTTTGAATTAATTTTGTTTTATTGTTTTGTGTTGAATTTGTAATGATCCAAATCCAATTGATTTTATTAATTTTAATAAATTATATCACATGTATGTATGAAGTTGAGAAATTTAAAATCAGTATTTTTTTATTTTTAATCTACATTGCAGAAACTCACATGAATATATTCTTGGAGTGGCAAAATTAATATAAAAAATGGCAAGTATTTGGGGTCCAATTTGATTAATGGAGCAAATTAAGTCAATGGCTAGGAAGATATATAGCTACATTGCCAGCTGCAGTTGCTAATTACAGCCAAACACGCATGAGTGAATAGCTAACCAAATATATTGAGTGATGCAAAACAACCCCAAACTTCTCAAGTCCGAATCCAATTGGTTGAACCCGGTCGAACCGAGTACTTTCATGTTTGAATTTATGCTTGTTTAATAATCGAGCTGATGAATTTAACGAATGAATAAAAGGTTCGTCTTATGTAAGTTAGTGGAAGTTCGAACTCATTTAATATATGCAAAATTGCTAAGTTACTCGAGGACATGAGTTGTCCATCTACAAACAACTTACTCGCAGTTTTTTGAAGACTTGTTAAAAAAAAAATGAATTGCTTGCTAAAATGTTCGACTCAACTCGCATAATAATAATCGAGCTCAACTAGTTGTTCGAGCTCCGCTTATTGAAGTTTGCGGAACGTACGGAGTTCAGTTCTCACGATTTAGTCGAACTAAGTTAATGTTTTTGCGAACGTTATTGAATAACAACTTAGTTGGTTAGTATAAGCTTATAATTGATGACTGAAGATACGTTAACATGTCGGTATCAACGGATAAGCACAAGTCTACTAGTATCCACGCTTCAAAAAATGTGAAATATAAATACTCCCAATTTCTATGTGCTATAGAACTATAAAAGTCCACAAGAAAGACTTTCACAAGTGAACATAACAACTACTACAGTAGAGGTGCGGTGCACGAGAATGCACTGGTCCGTTTTCATGATTATTAGTGCCATGACATAAGGAAAAAAAAAAAAAAAAAGAGAGAGCCTTTAATGCATATATATCATGAAATTTGTGAAAAAAAAAAGAAGAAAAAACTTCACCATCACTTATTACTTGAAAATTAATGAATATTTAATTTCCAGAAAATAGCTAGGTAGGTATAATTGTTTGAGAAAAGATTAGTTGATACTACTATTATTTAGTTATATTTATAATATGAAAGATAGTGAAGTTTGGTTAAAGTTGAGTTAAATTTGAGTTTTGATTGGTTTTTTACTGTACAAACAATAAACAATCGCCCCCTAAATATTCATTTTGACATTTTCAACATTTCATTTTCATCAATTAATATTTAGCTAAAAATGAATGTATTCATCATCAATTAATTAAAAGTTCTTAGAAACCTTTTCTCGGTTTCATGGTGTACTTGTGTTGTTATTTTGTGTATTTTTGTATTCTTAGTTTATGCTTATTTTATTTTATTTTAGATTTTTATTTTGATTTATTTAGTCGCTTTTTGATTGTGTATTTTCGCATTGTGTTGGTGTGTTGTGTATTTTATGTTAATTTTTATATTTTATCTCATAGAAAAATATTGTTTGAAAATATGCTCGTTGTCACTAGAAAATCGCTGAAAATTTGTCTGACACATACCAGAAAAGTCGTTGGAAAGTTGTCTGGAAACTCACAAAAAAACTCGTCGAGATGTTCTCAGTCGGCTAGCCTGGCCATAGCCTAACAGAACCACGATTCAGTACCGAACACAAACCGCATTCACGTGTCCCACGCCCAGCACAGAGCACGCTTGCGCTCGTGCATGTGAGACATGTCGAGCGAAGACTTGTTCGCCAACCCGTTAGTGTTGCGGGCCCCAAGCAGTCCACATGAGCACAACAAGCCTGCGAACTAGAGACCAGCCCTCCAACTCGTGACTGTTGCATGTCTTTGCGCTCAGCGAGTCCGCGAGCAGCGGACCAGCACTTCAGCTCGCGAGTGCCGACTGACATCGTCTCAGAGCCATTATAACCAACGAAGTGCCCCTTTTTAATACTATGTGTGTATTTTAGTACATGTTGCATTTAAGAGTATAAATATAATTTGTCCTTCACAATTTGAGCATCATGGTCTCTAGAGATGTTAAACGGGGGCTAGCCCTAGTGGACTACGGGCTAAACCGGGGCTAACTCTAGCCGGCCTTGGGCTCTACGGCTATAATAATAGTAATAATAATAACTGATTAGTCGGGAAAAGTGAACTAATAAACAAATTTGGGGGCCGTCGCCGGTTAAACAAAATTTGACCGCGCGTCGCAACGCGGCAAAATTAAAATTTATATTTTCCTCGACTAACCTCTACTAACTAGTAGTAGTGGCGAGTAAGGGTCGATCCCACAGGGAGTGTGAATCAAATTGTGAATTTTCTCGTATTAATTGAAATATAAAAGCAATAAAAGAGGGGGGGGGTTTGATTTTAAGAACTAAATTAACTAAAGCAAATAAAATCTAAACTAATAAAATAAAAATAAAAATAAATAAATTAGGAGAAATTTCTAGTTCACGGTTCCGTCTACACCCTCGACTGACACGTCTAATCAATTATGGCATCAAATCTCGCTATCTTATGAAATTACTAGCCCTAGACAACGACACGGTCTGTTACCCGAATTTTTCCTTATTTATAATTTAATCGCGAGACGCTCTACGATTAAATCTGACCTCTTGAACAGTCTAGGAAACACTTCCTAAATTTAATTCAATTAGCCGCTTTACGATTTAGAAAAATAGGCTAGACTAAGTAGTGAACTCAACCGCGTTCGTTCACTTAATTAGCTTGTGTTATCCCCGGTAGTTACCATCTTCCGGATACCACTTGCGAATTAAACACATCAACAATTACGGATTGAAGGCCTAATTCAGGTGTAGATATGTAAAGCCTAATCTAGGTGATCAATCTAAACAAGACTCAACACATCATGGTTAATTATTCAAAATAACACAAACAATCGCAAAAAGATATTAAAATCATCAACCATGATCAATCAAAACATAGTCAATCTTAGGGTTCGACTTCCCCGGAACTAGAATAAAACCTAAGCTAACATAATAAATAAAAATAAAAATAAAAGAAAGAGAATAGAATTATCCTCTTTCGTGTGCGGGTGCGGCCTCCCTCCGCAATTGATCGAGTTCCCGTCTTTCTTCTGTCTGCGCGTGGCTCCGTTTCTGTTCCCTTTTTCTTTTTGTTTCCGTAACTATGTGCGACTCCTTTCTACCCTCTGTTCATATGTATCTGTATTGCGGCTCCCAGGCTTTGCGTGAATTATAGGGTCTGCTCCCCAAAACCTCCTCGTATTACGTGGTTTATTGCAAATATATCCTCTTGGTTTAATAAACAAAGTGGGCCTCCAAATTTCTCCCAAAAGTTGCGTGAGTGCTTTATTTCCCCATGTGGCTCTCTTTCATTTATTTCCCAATCAAATAATTTCCTTTGTAGCCCAAAATTTATTTGGCCCAATTGTATTCATGACCTGGCCCGCATTACGTGAATTGCAGGGGCTTCACTACTCTATTGGACGTCTGAGTATGGGGTATTGTTGGGTCAGTACGGGACATCCCCATACTCTGCTGAAAAACTTTCTTCATCCTTCTTCGTGCATCCATACATCATCGTGCAATCAGAAATAGTCCCAAAACTGCTGAAAATATATTATAAAATATCAAAGTACAAGAATCCATATAACAAATAAATAAGTCGAAAGACATATAAGTGCGACAAAATTAAGCATATAAAAATACGCTAATAAATATATAAAGTACACACTTTTCCCGACTAATCAAATCTCCCCAAACTTAAATTGTTGCTTGTCCTCAAGCAACTTAGTACTGTAAGCACATAGATGGATAAGAAAACAAGTACGTGGAACATTTGCTCAAAGCCTCACAATTCTCACATAAGTGCATAGTTCAAACAACTCAAACCAATTTATCCGGACTCAAGATGAATTTATTGTAAGAACGCAAACAATCAAGTATCAATCTAAGTGACCACCATAGTTTGTCAATCTCTTTAACGAATGCACCGATCAATGCAACTAATGACACTCCTCTCTTTGCTAACAAGTCTAGTTTCTTTCCGTTTCTAGCCAAAGTCCAAATGCCTCATTCTCCAAACCATTTTTTTTTTTTTTAGAGTAGGGAACGGCAGCTCCGTCACAACCCGCGGGTTTTAGCCTTTCGTGCTCGTATAGATATGGAAATTATTGGAATAATACACTAAAGCCTCCACGGATTGGCAGCTGTTGCAGCCCATGACTCTTTTTTTTTTTTTTTTTGCCAATGGCTTTTCAACTCCACCAATTATTCCTCCATCCTCATTATTCTTTTTTTTTCGACTATGAGACATAGAAACCCCAACTTTCAACTTCAAGTCCCCAAACTTAATCAACATTGATTAAAGCAATCACAAGCACATCTCAACAATACAAATCGTCTCAAGACCAACTCACCACAATAAGTCACAAAAATATCAACCTTCATTCCTTTGTCCCCAAAATAAAACACCTCAAGAATTTAACCAAATAAAATCAACTCAAGCCATTTAAACTAGCACAATAAATCCAAACTCACTCTCATGTCATCATCGCAACATTCCACGTAAATGCAATCTCACGCACACACAAGATTAACATCATGCAAATAATTTACGACTCAAACTCTAAGGGGCAAAAATATAATCACATAATAAACATGAATGCACACCAAGAAGAACCTCCCCAAACTTAGAGCTTGCATATATCATCGACACCAATAATCACAAAAAAATAGAGGTAAAAGAAACGAGTTCACCTTAGTAAATGCGGAAAAAGTCACCGAACCATGCACACCATTGGGTTG